GGGCATGGCAAGCGTGGCATTTCCTCGTCGCCACAGGGGATGCCTGGGGTGGGCGCTATCCGGCCTGGTCGTCCACGGCACAGCAGGCGCTGCACTTTCTTGACCACCTAGCATCATCCACGTATGTTGCACGTCAGCTATGCTAAGACAAGAGTTCAAACGAAGTGTGGGGTTCCTCGGTAGCTTCATTCTCCTGCTCGCCCGCCACCTCATTTTCCTATGTACGCAACTCTCCGTTTCCGACTGCGCATAACACGATGGCTTGTGGTTGTTGGAGTTCCAGGTCGGCTATGACACGCGTGCGACGATAGAGACACATCAGCGCAATCGGAACGGATGGGAGAGAAGGACAGGAGATCAAATGCTGCTCATCTCTCTCCTGATGACGTCCGGAAGATGTCCAACCCCCCTCCGCGCACTTTGTTTTTACACACAAGATTCCCGGGAATTGGGTTTTCGCTTGGGTTGTTTCTAAATGTTGTTCCCGCTGAAGCGCTGGCCTCATTTTCGGGCGTCTGCTCGTTCCGAATCGTGTTCCCGCTGCAGCGCTGGCCTCATTTTCGCGCTTCCGCTCGTTCCGAATCGTGCTCCCGCTGCAGCGCTGGCCTCATTGCCACGCTTCCGCTCGTTCCGAATCGTGCTCCCGCTGCAGCGCTGGCGTCATTATTCCCAGTGCCATGCCACGGCATGTAATGCAATGCTATTTGGTATTCCGCTGTGCGATGTCATGCCTTCGGCTGCAATGCTAGGAATACGCAATGCTTGACTACGCAGTGCCACGCCATGCTATGCCATGCTACGCTTTGATCTTCAACGCCATGCTTCGCCATGCTCTGTTATGTGCCGCTGTGCGATGCCATTATTTGCGTTGCAATGCTGCGTGATGCACTTCTTCACTACGCAACGCCACGCCATGCTACGACATACTACGCTCTGTCGTGCTCCTTTACGTCCTGCTGCGCCGTGCTCTACGACGCATCGCGCACCCTCTCGGGATCATTGCCCTGCTCGACATCCGACTGTGCGAATATGAAGGGGCCCCAGGATACACAAATAAATACACACAAATAAAAAGATTCCCCACAGTTTCCCATATTTTCTGTGTTTTTGTCTTCCCCCCCACATCCCATATTTTCCCATATTTTCTGGGGAATCGACGATTAATTGTGTCTTGGCGTTTTTGCCCACTCCTGAAGGAGAGCCGCGCCATGGTAAGGGATGGGAGGGAGGGACAGGAGGCCAGATGCTGCGCGAGCGCGCCCATCCTGCTGCCACCCCCTCTCCTCCTCCCTCCCTCCCCCCTCCCTCTCCTCCCTCCCTCTTCTCCCTCTCCCTCTCCACCCCCCTCTCCGCCCCTCCTCCCCCCTCCCCTCCTCCCCCTCTTCCTCCCTGCGTCCCCTCCTCCTCCCAACTCCTCCCGGCCGGCCTGCTCCCCGTGGTGGCCGGGGGCAGAGAAGGAGCCGAGCTGCCGCCCCCCCGACGACGACGACAAACTTGCGGCATCTCGGCATCTCGACTTGCCGATGCGTTTGCTAGCAATGGCCACCTACTCAACCTCGGCGTTACAAAAACGGCCGCCCTGTTGGCTTAACGAGGAAAAGGAGCGAAGACGGCGAAGCAGCACGCGTGGCACGAGTGTGGTGGGCATGTGGTTGCGCAGGCACAGCAACTTGGCACTATACGGGCACCAATTGTCAAGCACTATGTACATCTTGGCTCAGCTATTGATTCCCAAGGTAACATGGGGCCCGAGGTCCGATATGCAGCCAGCACTACCACAGCTACGTTACGGGCGCTGCGCACTAGAATTTTCTCCACCACGGCTCTTGCCGATCCGACATGTATGGTGTTCGCCGACAATATGGTGTTATCGGGGCGTCTCTACAACTCGGGCGCCTGGACTATGCTAACAACGGCGGATGCCAAAATGGCCGACGCCGAAGTCATGAAAGTCTACCGAACTGCGGCGAAGGTTCGTTTTGTGGAAGCCGAATCGTGCATAAGTGATGGTCAAGTGCTGGCCAGACTCAGGGTCCAAATTTGCATTTGCCTTACTACGGGCCGAGTGGCACGACACTGCTCACCACGGGTGCCGCGCCAGGTCATGGCTGGGAATCGTCGTAGATGATTGCTCGTGGCTAAGTGCTGCTGCTGTTGCTTGTGCTTCTCTCCTGCCACCGCTTCAGAATTTCAGTGAATATAAGTCCCTCATCCTACGAAATCAAACAGCTTGGAAACGCATTATCAAGATGGCGTTACACGCTACGGCCCAACCTCATGCTCGAGATGTTGAGGCGGCCACAGTGGAGGCCAAGTTTTTTCAGGAAGTCCGCCCCCCGGGAGTGCTAGAACGTGTTTGGACGGATATTAATGGACTACTTATAGACCCACCTACATATGCCGCAGACGACACAGAGGATGCCAGTGTCACGTGTCCATGGCGTGCGCGCGCCTTTCGAAAGCATGGAGCATTACGTGTGCATGTGACGCGTACCCACCGACAGAACGCAGCTTTGGCACGTGCATGGGCGTCACCAGACGGACAATGTCACGCATGCCTATATGTATTTCATGCTCGGGCACACCTAGTAGACCACCTAGCACATGATTCCCCACGGTGTTTATTTTTATTGATGCGTGATCCTGCAACGGCAGCTGGTGTACCAAGTGTTACTATGTCAGGCGCTGCGCCGTGTTATCATATCGCACACCCCGATTTCTCAGCCCCCGTGACAGGCAGGATCCCAGGTGTGCCGTTGTCTCGCCGTCATGTTGTTGTGCCGACAGTTCGTGCAGCTGGCCCCATCACAGAGCATGCGTATTCGGTTATTGCTACGATGGACCATGACACTGCGCGCGTGGAGATTGCGGCCGCTGACCCCGCTCTCCCAGCTGGGCTTGCTGCTTGCCTACGAGCTCCTACACCTGTGGATGCCGCTGTTGTGCCGCCGCCACCAGCCAACCCTGTTCAGTACACCACTGAGAGATACCCCAGTCGACTTTTCCTGACAGAACGATACTCTGGCATCGCAGCCGAGCCCATACCGAAAGCCGTCAGAAGAGTTGAGTTCTTTGTCCTAAATGTGTTATGTGGACGGAGGAGGGCGGGAGATGTACAAGCACAGGTTGAATGGGCGCATTGCTGCACCGACTATGCTATATATGTCCTGTCTGTGAATATAGTCACGTTTACCTGCCACCCGACGCGTGCTCTCCAGTCGTCCCCAGCAGTCTCGACGTCCGACTTCGATCAGTGTGAAAATGGTCAGACGTCAAGGGCCCCCACTCGGATCGTTGCACTTAGACTGCCAGGGCTGCACGCCGCCCTGCTTGCGACCCCTGGAACCGGCAGATGTGCGCACGGTAGGGACGGACACGAAACGCTTCTTGGGCATGACAGGGATAGGAGGGAGTGGCGCACAGCCAAAAAGAAGACGTATCCCGCCGGCCTGTGCAAGAGTGTCGCTGCTGCCACCGCTGATGCAGTGCGTACCATGCGGGAAGGGGAAGTTGATAGTATTGAACCTGTCGTTCCGGAGGACATGGGGGGGATGGTAGAGTACGTGATGGACTACTACGCTTCCTTGTCTCCTGGGATCCCTATTCTGGCACAGACGAGAGATGGGCTCCCGACTTTGTCTCTCGGCGCACACGTCGTGTCCGACACGACCCCGAGTTTGATCACTTTCGACCTCTACACGTCCCCCGACATCGGAGGGGGCATCAGACCCGCAGGGGCTGACTCGCAGGGGGCTTCGGTCGCAGGGGGCCCCGCAGGCATCGACGTGCTTTTTTTGTGACTCGCAGGGGGCATCAGACCCTCCCCCCCGCCCGTCCCTGTACCCCTAGCACCCGAAATCTTGGAGCGCATCGCGCAAAACCGCGCGCAGGCACGTGTCAGAAGAGCTGCTAAACTCCAGGAAGCGAGACAGGCTCGCTTGCGCGAAGTAGCCCCGTGGACCCATGATCGTAATTTTGGCAGAAGCATGTTCGGATAAGTTGCTGCCTGTCAATTATCAAGAGAGGTTGGGGGTTGTAGTTCAGTTGTTGCGCGGAGTGGTGGGGTGGAGGTTCAGAACAGTCAAACGTTGTCTCTTGCCATCCACCCGCTCGCAGCTGCTTTCTCTGTGCTTTTCCCCCGCGCCTCCCCTGCCAGGTGATGTCGATGTCCTTCCTTCCACGTCGACGGCATGGTGGTGTAGGACCGATGCCATTGTTCTCTCTACGTTGGTGACGCTCTCCTTGATTGACATACGCCAGACATTTCTTTTGGCCACACCGCTCTTCCGTCCTATACAAGATCTGGCGTTAGGTCGGGCATGTCCTCCGACAGGCGAATTTTGGAAGAAAATAAACAATAGTCAAAACATGGTCAAACATAGTCAAAACCTAATCGAAACATCGTACCCAGGCTATTGTTTGAACTATGTTTGGAATGCTCCTCCTGTAGAGGGACATGCCCGACTTAGATCTGGCGCTCTGGCTGAACCTCTTTTGCATTAACCCCCGTCTCTTGCGCCCCGATCTGGAGGGCGCATTGGGCGCCTGGGCCGTCCCGAAGCGCTCCAAAACGCGCCGACGGCGTTCTGGAGCGCTCGGTGGACCCTACTGACCCGGGTCAAGTGCGAACCTGGGCCACTCAGGCCTTGCAGGAGACGCCTGGGGATCGCATGGGTACGGGCGCTAGTTGTCAGCTCATGAAAGGAGGGGGAAAAGAGGGAGAGCGCGAGGTGGAGAACGACGGCGGTGCCTTCCCAGACATGCGACGTCCTGGTTTGTTCAACAGGACGGCGCCCCCGGAACTCCAGACCCTTTCCCCAGGACCGGCTTTTCGTCCCGAGTAGTTTTTTCACGGCCCCGGGGCCCAGCGAGGGCCCCCCGGTGCCGAAAATAATAAAAAACCGCCCGTCCTATTTTTCTGCGACGCGATCATATGTCTAGGGGTGAAGAACGACGGTGGTGCCTTCCTGACCTTGCTCGCTGGCTGCCGAGTTGCCCGCGCGCAGTCGGTGATGTTGCAGGGCAGATTCCCGTCGCATGCCCGGGTCATGCCCAGGGAAAAGAAGCAGCCTGCGCCGCCTGGGGCCCGCATCGCCACTACTACATTCCAGCAAGACCCACCTCTTCACTTCTCTCAGAAAGATTTCCCCCCCTCCTCCAATCTGAGCATCTCGGGGAACGAAGAATGACATGAGAATGAAAACCCGGAGGTCCGCGCGGATTTCTCGGATCCGCGCTGGACCCCCCTGGCGGCGCCTCCGGCGCCGCCCTTGGCGCGCTCCGCGCGCCAGGGAAGGGGGGGACAAGCGCCGATCAGAAAGACCCGCGGGGACCGCCGAGTTGTTCTGGTAATGTCTTTCTTCGTTCCCCTAACCTCCTCCTCCTCGTCCTGGTCCACCTGCCCCTCGGGCTCCTCACCATCCTTCGCATACCCGCCCTCGTCCTCTGGCTGCTCTTGTGCCTTCCTGCTCCCGCCTGTGCCGCACCCTCTACCCACCGATCCAGATCCATGTGCTCCCCCCTCCCCTTCCTCCCTGCTGGTGCTGCTCCTGCTGCTCCCCCGCCAGACCCTCCTCCTCCTCCTCCTCCTCCTCCTCCTCCTCCTCCTCCTCCTCCTCCTCCTCCTCTGCCTTCCCCTTCTGTGCCACCTCCTCCGACATCTCGGGGGAGGTGGGGGGGGCTCTCGGCAGAGGCACGCGCGCGCGCACGAGGATTGCCGAAGGGCGCCTGGCCGCGCCCGAAGATGACCCAAAGCCCCCTCGAGGCCCCCGAGGCGCCCCAAAGAGACCCCAAGAGGCCTCCAAGAAGCCCCCACGAGGCACCCAAGAGGCCCCCCGAGAAGCCCCCAGGAGCCACAGCGAGCCCTCCAAAACGCCCGATAAGCATCCGAAGAGCCCCATCATATGCATCCGCGCGCCTCGTGACCCACTTCGTTCCTTCCACGAGCGCTGCAAACTCGCACTGCATGTCCACACTCCGTGGACGCCCCCGAGTGGACGCGACGAGACCCCGATAACACCCCGAAGCGTTTCCCACAACGCTTTACGATTGTCTCTCACAGCCTTTCCTGGGCCTTGCCCGCAGACTTCCACAGGCATAGACGCGGATACCGCCCACCCACATTTGCAAGGGCCAGACCGCGCGCGACATGATCGGCCCCAGCCTTCCCCATTGATCTCTACTCTTCTAGAGCCCCGACTCCTGCTCGAGAAACAAGCGACGAACTTGACATCGTGACTTCCAGGCCAACAGAACCTTCCGACATAGACTGCCCGACTACGAATGTCCTCAGCGAGCGGCAAGGCCCAAAAAGAATCGAGATGCACAACGCATTCCGGTCTCAATGCTCCGAATGAAGTCCGCGATCATGCATTCATGCTTGTCATTGCTGGGGGTCGTCGGAATGGCGAAAGCCGCTTGAATTATCAAAGAGGTAGAAGTGACAATGCGAATTGTGGCACTGGCAGAAGCGGCGGTAGTGGTAACACGTGTGAGCATGGTTTTGCTAGTAGGAAGTACGAGTATTACTAATAGTAGTAGTAGAAGAAGAATACGTAATACAAATTACGATGGAAGTAGTGGTAGAAAATGTAGTGGTAGTCATACTGCTAGTAGTAGTAGTCGTAGTAGTAGTAGTAGTAGTAGTTGTAGTAGTAGTAGTCGTGGTAGTAGTAGTAGTAGTAGTAGTAGTAGTCGTATTAGTAGTAGTAGTAGTAGTAGTAGTAGTAGTAGTAGTAGTAGTAGTAGTAGTAGTAGTAGTAGTAGTAGTAGTAGTAGTAGTAGTAGTAGTAGTAGTAGTAGTAGTAGTAGTAGTAGTAGTAGTAGTAGTAGTAGTAGTAGTAGTCGTAGTAGTAGTAGTAGTAGTAGTAGTAGTAGTAGTAGTAGTAGTAGTAGTAGTAGTAGTAGTAGTAGTAGTAGTAGTAGTAGTAGTAGTAGTAGTCGTAGTAGTAGTAGTAGTAGTAGTAGTAGTAGTAGTAGTAGTAGTAGTAGTAGTAGTAGTATAGTAGTAGTAGTAGTAGTAGTAGTAGTAGTAGTAGTAGTAGTAGTAGTAGTAGTAGTAGTAGTAGTAGTAGTAGTAGTAGTAGTAGTAGTAGTAGTAGTAGTAGTAGTAGTAGTAGTAGTAGAGTAGTAGCAGTAGTAGAGTAGTAGTAGTAGTAGCAGCAGTAGTAGTAGTAGTAGTAGTAGTAGTAGTAGTAGTAGTAGTAGTAGTAGTAGTAGTAGTAGTAGGTCGTAGTAGTAGTAGTAGTAGTAGTAGCAGTAGTAGTAGTAGTAGTAGTAGTAGTAGTAGTAGTAGTAGTAGTAGTAGTAGTAGTAGTAGTAGTAGTAGTAGTAGTAGTAGTAGTAGTAGTAGTAGTAGTAGTAGTAGTAGTAGTAGTAGTAGTAGTAGTAGTAGTAGTAGTAGTAGTAGTAGTAGTAGTAGTAGTAGTAGTAGTAGTAGTAGTAGTAGTAGTAGTAGTAGTAGTAGTAGTAGTAGTAGTAGTAGTAGTAGTACAAATAGTAATGGTGGTAGTAGTCGTGGTAGTAGTAGAACAAGTGGTAGTAGTGGTGGCAAGCATAGTCGTCGTAGTAGCCGTAAGAGTAGTAGTAGGAGTAGTAGTAGTAGCAGTAGAAGTAGTATCCGTATCAGTAGTCGCAATAGTCATAGAAGTGGGCGTGGTAGTAGTAATAGCAGGCATGCCGGTAGACGAGTCGCAGTAGTAGTAGTAGACGTCGACGTAGTAGTATTAGTAGTAGTAGTAGTAGTAGTAGTAGTAGTAGTAGTAGTTGTAGTAGTAGTAGTAGTAATATAGAGTAGTAGTAGTAGTAGTAGTAATAATAATAGTAGTCGTAGCAATAGGAAGGGTAGTAGTAGTAGTAGTAGTAGTAGTAGTGGTAGTGGTAGTAGTAGTAGTAGTAGTAGTAGTAGTAGTAGTGGTGGTAGTACTAGTAGCAATAGTAATAGTAGCGGTGGTAATAATAAGACTGATAATGGACATACTACCAGTAGGTGGTTCATGCCGACCACGACTAGCATCAATACTACCATTATTTCTACGACTACCACTACTACTACTACTAAGGCTACGGCTACTACTCCTACTACTACTCCTACTACTACTACTACTACTACTACTCCTACTACTACTACTACTACTACTACTACTACTACTACTACTTCTACTACTACTACTACTACGACTGCTACTACTACAACCACTGTTACAACTAACGCAAAGACTTGCATTACTATTATTACTACGACTACTAGTACTGCTACTACTACGACTACTACCACCACTACTAATGCTACTAGGACTACTACCCCTACTACTACTACTACTACTACTACTACTACTACTACTACTACTACTATTACTACCACAACTACTACTACTACTACTACTACTACTGCACTCATACGACCACTACTACGACTACGATTTACAAAGGCGACAGCGACGACTACTACTACTACTACTACTACTACTACTACTACTACTACTACTACTACTACTACTACTGTTACTACTACTACGACTCACTACTGGCACCGCATTCACTCACATCAAGGTGAAGCCATTTCTCGAGTCTGTGCCCTCTGCTGGCCAAGCTCCGCCGCGGCGTGGACACCGCAGGAACTAGCCCAGGAGAGATTCGAGGTGGGCATGTGTGACTTGGCGCTGGAGCTGCAGCAGTGAGCAGGCCTGGAAAGCCGCGCGCTGGCGCACTCGCCATCCGCAACCACCTGGGAGTGCAGGCAGCGCACCCCGAAACGAGGAGGAGGGATGGAGGGAGGATGAGGGAGATGCTGATGGGGGGCGAGGAGGAGAAGGGGGATGCGGATGGAGGTGGGAAGGAACGAGTCGACGATAGATCAGTACGAGACATAATCCAAGGATCAGGAGTTATGATGGGGGTCGAGGGAGAAGAATGGACAAGGGTGATGAAGGTGTCGTCTTCGTAGCAATCGTAGTCGTAGTCGTGGTCGCCGCTGTCGTCGCAGTCAAAATCAAGGTCGCGGTCGCCGTCGCCGCGTGTCGAGGTAGTCGAGGCCACCGCCGTCGATGATTCCATCGTTGTTGCTGCGGCCGCCGTCGCCGTGGTCGCTGTCGCCGTCGTCGCCGCGGCCGTTGTCGTCGTCGACCGCCGCCGCCGACGTCGGCTGCAGCTGCCTGGGCCGCGCAGCTGCGTGACGGCCCTCATGCGCGACTGGTGCCCGGGGCCGCAGGTGGTGGAGCACGCGCCCCACTCCACCCAGCCGGACACGACGCAGTCCTGCCGCCGGAGGAGGTGGCTTTCTTTCCTCCCGCACCATCGCTGCCCTCGACGTCCTCCTCCAGGTGGAGGAAGACCCAGACCTCCTCGAGCTGTGCAAACAACACATCGGGAAGTTTTCGTTATTCTCGGTCTCCAAGGGCCCTTCCCCAGCCTCGAAACCGTCAAAACACAACTCAGGATGAAACTCCGGTCCCTGGGAAGGGGTCCAGACTTCCGCCACGTCATGAAAAATCACGACGTCGAGGGTCCCCAGAGCCCCGACGCCATGACTTTTTCACAACGTAACGTCGGCCCCTGGAGTTCTCGACCCATTCCCCTGCATCGGCTTTTCACCCTCAGTCGTGCTTTGACGCCCCCGAAGGCCGGCAGGGGCCCCCAGAGGCCGAGAAGAGCAGAAAACCTCCCTCCCGTCGTGATTTCTTCATTGCCCGAGGGGGTCTGGGGATGGAGGACCAGAGTAGTCGGCGACTACAATGGGTGAGGTTTGCGAAGGGTGCGGTTTGCCTCCCGTCAGATCTGCCCCTCCCGCCCCCGCGAAGCGGATGACACTGTCACTCAATGCGGCCGAATCACATGACACTGCCGCCCCGTCTAGTGCAGTGAAGCACACATCGAGGACGACAGTGTCGCTCGAAACGACGACAGTTATGACACTGTCTCTCACAAAAGCCCCGGAAAAAAAACCGCCACAGAGCAACTCGCAAAGCGCACCCCGGCATAACCGCACCGAGTGTAATCGCCGACCGAAGTAGGCCCAGGACCCAGAGCTGCGTCACGACGTGCTGGCAGTGCACGCGCCCGTGCCCCGCGGCGGGTGCCCCGTGGGCGGCGCAGCGCCCCGCGGGGCCAGCAGCTCGGGCGAGGGGGCCCTGCACATCGGCGGGCCCGAGCTCGGGGGCCGAAGCCGGGCGCGCTTGGATGTGAATACGATCGTTTTTTTTATATATATATATATAATGTATGTGTATATATATATATATAAATATGTATGTAAAGTTTGTTTATTTCACTGTTTAGCAATATTTCTTTTTTTGTGAAAGAAAAACTTCGAGGGTGAGCGGACCCACCCGGGATTTGAACGTCATGCAGGAGAGGCGCGGGCGGGGCCCCCAGCAACGAGCCCTCGAACCAGGGCTCGACGTCCTGGGGCCCGCCGTCCCCGCGCTCAGCGCCGCAGCAGCCCGAACAGACAGGCGGGGCGTTGACCTGAGGAATCCTGAATAAGGAACGAGGCCCCTCTTGTCCATGAGTTGCACCTCAGTTTCCCAAGGGAAAGCGAAGGAAGACCTAAGGCAACCTGTGAAACAATTGGGGAGCACGGAGCCCCTCTCCAACGAACAGGGTTCCTTCTCCAGCGTCCCGACTGTGCGGCAAGTTCGCGTCGTGTCGACATCGTTCAAACTTCGGCCCTTTCCAAAAGGGCGGATCGTTCAACATCGACTGGTTCTGGGTCGCCAACGGCGTTCAACCTTACATGCCCGCGGCGGGGTCGCCGCCGGTCGACAAGACGCGAACCTGCCGTAGGGCCTCTCGGGGGGGGGGGGGGGCCCTGGTGGCCATGGCTGGGCCCGCCCCTCGCAGGGCTGGCCACAACGCACCCGCGTGCGGGCCGAGGGGTCGACTCCTTCGGGGGCGAAGATAGCCCTGGGGACGGTCCATGCCTTCGGCGAGGCTTCCTGGCGAAAACGTATACAGTCAAGACTGAGCGTAAGGATGCCCGATGAGGATGCAAGTCGCGTGGACGCCCAGGTGGAAGCTTTTCGAGAGGTGACCTGGCCATCGAGAGTGGTCAAGGATGGGCCGAAGAGGCAAGGGTGCAAGGAGCCTGCTTTTTACAGACTCTGGCAAGTTTCCTTGCATGGACGGGGGGGGGCTGAACCTGAAGCAAGCCGCAGACGACCTGCACGTGCGGAGATCGCGCAAGTCGAAAGGCACTTGCACGCCAGTATTCGATTGAAGAGGGGCGAGGGGGGGGGGAGGGGGCGAACGCCATGCAAGTGAACATGCCTGAATTGAAAAAACAGGCTGAGGAGGAGGAGGAGGAGGAGGAGCAGGAGCAGGTGGGGGAGGAGGAGAAGGGGGAGGAGGGGGAGGAAGAGGAGGAGGAGGAGGAGGAAGAGGAGGAGGACGAGGAGGAGGAGGAGGCGGGGGAGGAGGAGGAGGAGGAGGAGGAGGAGGAGGAGGAGGAGGAGAAAGGGGGAGGAGAAGGAGGAGGAGGAGGACGAAGAGGAGGAGGAGGAGAAGGAGGAGGAGGGGAGGAGGAGGGACCCCCTATCGTTGCCTCCTGGGGCCCGTGCCTCGAGGACGTCGGGCCTCGAGCTGGGCCGCTCCGTGCTTACAGCCAGAAGACATCCCCTTAACCTTTGGAATGGGACCTAAAGCAGGACGCCCGAATCCATTCCCCCTCGGCTAATTAAACATCATGACGAGACGTGTTTTGCGATGTTCGACTGATGGGGGCCCTTACCGGCCCTCAGGAGCGTCAAAAAACGACTCAGGATGAAAACCCGTCCAGGGGAGTGGGTCGAGAGAGGAGGAGGAGGCGGAGGCGGAGGAGGAGGAGGAGGAGGAGGAGGAGGAGGAGGAGGAAGAGGAGGAGGAGGAGGGGGAGGAAGGGGCGGGGGGTAAATCACGACGGGAAGTTTCTCGTTCTTCTCGGCCTCCAGGGGCCCCCCGCCCGGGCCTCGGGGCCGTCAGAACGCGGCTCAGGACAAAAAACTGGTCCCCGGGAGGGGGTCCGGACTGGCGGCCCGCTCCACGGGGGCGTTCTAGAAGGTAAGCTTTTCCCTGTTCGGCGTTTCGACACTGGGCGGAAGGGGGGGGGGAGGGGGGGGTCTGACTCTGGGCCTCTGCGGAAGGCCACTGTTTGCAACAGTGCGTGAGCCGCCAAGCTCTGCTCCATGGGGGGGGAGGGGGAGGTGCGAGGGCCCGCGCCGATCGGCAAAACAATGAATAAGAAAACGATCACAAGGGGCTTCGTCTTCGATGCGGGCAGGAGTTGTTCGGCGGCGAGCGAAGGGGGGGAAGCGAGAAGGAGGCCTTCTCAGCAAGCGGAAGGGCGTCTCAGAAACGCTCCGGCCTTCTGAGAAGTTGTCCGCGTCTTCGGGGAAGGCTTAGAGCACCTCTCAGAAGGCTGGGTGGCTTCCGAGCCTTCTGAGACGGCCTTCTCCTCCTCGCTTCCCCCCGGGCCCGCCGCCGATCCTCGAGCGGAGGAGGTGCAGCCAACCCGTAGAATCAGGGCGCCCGATAAGGATGCAAGGGCCTTGGAAGGCATCGCCGACACTCTGCGAGCGGGCCGCGGCCAGGGAACGCGGCCGTGGATGGGCCGAAGGGGGAGGATGCAGGGGCAACCTTGGCAAGTCGCTCATCCTTACTGTGCGGAGTCCAGGGTCTGGAAGCCGCTGGAACTCCAATCGTGGATCGGCCATGGGTATAACCGCCGCCCCGATTAGAGAAGGAATCCTCCAAGGTCTGAAGACTCCTGGGCACGTTCCTTAACCAACGCCCCTACCGTGGAAAACGGCATAAGCGGCATAAGCATACAATCTCGACGGTCAGCGCGGATTTCTTGGATCTGCGCTGGACCCCTCCCTGGCGCGCAGAGCGCGCCAGGGGCGGCGACTGAGGCGCCGCAACGGGGGCCCAACGCAGATCCAACAAACCCGCGCGGACCGTCGAAAGTGTATGTTTCCCTCGAAATCGGGAGAGACTTGTGCCCATATTCACTGCAGCTTGGGGGTTCGGGCTCCCTTGCCGAGAAACACGAGGCGCCCTGGATATGGACAATAAGAACTCTGCCCAAAGGGGATCGATCCTGATCCATATCAAGCGCGCCTTGGCCTTTCGGCGCTCCTTCCTAGAAAATCCAAAACGCACTGGATATGGGTCTGAAAGGGGCCCTGTAATGGAAACGACACGGCCGTTTTTTTACCGGCGGTTCCGTCTTGCCGTCTTTGCCGATTGTGCGCAATTGTTTTCCAATTCCGTCGCCGTTTTGTTTGCCGGTTCCAGTTCTGGTATTTTTATCCCGTCGCCGATTTTGCATCCATGTCCAATTCCAATTCCGGAACCGTTGGTTTGCCGTTTCCAGCTGCCGTGTCTTTGTTTTCGCCGCTTCCATGTTCAAGAGACACTTCTTCTGAAACGGGGGGAAACACGGCCATGCCGTTTCCGGGGCCCACTGGGACGTGGGTACAGCTCTGGCTCGCATCGGATGCGGGCAAGACTCGTGTCCCCATCCTCTGCAGCTTGGAGTTTCGGGCTCCCTTCCCCAAGAACCCGAGGCGCCCTGGACACGGAGAAGCATCTGACCCCAGCCAGAGGCTCCATCCTTATCCAGATCCAGTGCGCCTCGGCCTTGCGGCGCCCCGTCACAGAACGTCCAAGGCGCACTGGATATGGATATGGATATATATATATATATATATATATATAGATCCTGCCCGCATCGAAGACGAAACCCCTTCTGTTGAGCAGGGGCCGACCGTCCGGGCAATCCTAGAGGCCTACCACGACATGCTCTTAGAACCCAGAAATGTTCGAATAACAAAACAAGGTTCGTAGAACAGGAACCAGGTGTGTCAAAAAAGACAGTCTCTCAGCCAGAAAGGTCCTGAGGACATGTCGTGCAGACCACAGAAGGTTCTCAGATCACTCGTTCGTGGGCCTAGAAGCAAACCAGGACGCTCCGCCACTGAAGCCAAAAAACTGCAGTGCAGGAGAAACAAACAAATAACAAGCAAAAACTGCAGCGCAGTGCTTCGCAAACCCAGGTCAGCCCATGAGGCGCGGCCGCCTCGCGGCCACGAGCGGCTCGCCAACCCGGGTCAGCCAGAGGGGGTCTTCGCAGGATCCTGCAAGATCCTGCGCCCTGGCTGACCCCCGGTTGCATTGACCCCCGTCTCTAATCGAGGGCAGAAAATCCACCCCGATAAGAACCACCCCGACACGCGAAGCCGTTTAGTAAACGCACCCAAAGAAGGAATCAAACAGGGCAGGGCTGCTTCCTAAACGCCGAGGGCCCTTTCGTAAGCGCCGATTGTCCGGTCTGCGTGGTTCTTCCTCCCTTGATCTTAGGCTCTGAGGGCGACGGTCCCAGACGCCCAACTGCTCCAATTATCTGGAGGCGTGGGCTGTGGAGGTCCGGGCCGCGTCCCCAGGGCTGGCCCTGTCGCCCAGGGTCGCAGTCTGACGCTCCGGAGCTCAGCCGCCCCGATGCGCAGCACGCGACCCGCAGTGGGTCGACGCGGAGCTGGACCCGCAGATTGGAAAAGCGTGCGCTTGGCGCGATGCGCTCGCCCAAGCGTGGGCCACAACGCCGAGCCAGCACGCAGCGTGTTGACACGGACGGCTCGCACGCGGCGCGTGCTGCGTTCAAACCTGGCGCACCGCGGGGCAGCTGAGCTCCCGGGGCCCGGCGAGGGCCCCCGGGAGGCCCACCACGGCCGAACACCGCCCCGCGGGAATTCTGCTCGGAGCGTCGGAGTCTCCGGGCCTGCAGCGAGGATCACGGCTGGGACTTCGGGAGGGGGGCGACAGTGGCGAGCGGGAGGACGACGGGGAGATCGAGCAGAGAAGCAGTACACGTCCGCCGGAAGAAGTGTGTAAACGCATAAAAAGCAGGAAGGCGGATCAAGTACATTGGGTTCAGGCCCTCCATAGCAAGACACAGCAAAACAACTCATCGATATACGAGTGCCGATTCTTGAAGTCGGAGGGCGCTGAAGAAGTGGATTGGGATCTGGGAATCCGAAGCAGACCTACCTTCAACGACCTACGTTTAAGTCGGGCCTGTCCCCCTACAGGGGGATTTTCGACGAAAACCAAGAAAATACACCCAAAATAAGCAAAACATAGTCCACAGATAGCTGGGGGACTATGTTTTGAGTATTCTTTGTCCTTTTTGGTGTATATTTGGAGTATGTTTTATTTTTCGTCGCAAATCCCCCTGTAGGGGGATACGCCCGACGTAAACCAACGTGCACGAGGAGGAGGAGGAGGAGGAGGAGGAGGAGGAGGAGGAGGTGGGCCGCAGACGAGCGGAGGCCCGGACGGCGCGTGCCGCGCGGGCGGGGCGCGGCGGCGTGCCGCGCCACAGGGAGGGAGGGGGGGAGGGTCGCTTCCGCAGCCGGGGGGGGGTGAGAGGAGCACGTACAGGGCAGTTTTCAAGACATGGGATGTTTGAACCTATGGGATTTTTAATACTGATCAATATATGAATAAATGTATGCATGAACTCATCGTTGTTTTTGATGCTTAACCCTGCATTGTTTATACATGATCCGCACGCGGAGCATGCATTGAAAACGGCCCTGTAGGTGAACGACGCAGGCGCGGCTCGTCGGCGAACGAGGGGGGGGGGAGTGAGAAGGAGAAGGCCTTCTCAGAGGGCGGCGGGGCTTCTCAGAGGCCCTCTGGCCTCCTGAAAGACTGCTTCGTGTTTTGTTGTGTGTCGGGGGAGGCCTAGGACACTTCTCGGAAGGCTGGGGGACTTCCGAACCCTGTGAGAAGGCCTTCTCTTTCTCGCTTCCACCCTGGGCTTGCCGCCGGAAGATACTATAGGTGAACGACGCAAGCGCGACTGTCGAGAGGTGCTCAACGTCGTCTGGGCGCGAAGTCACGTGCGTCGAGCGCACATTTTTAGGTCGGACATGTCCCCCTACAGGCAGAGTTTGGAGGAAAACTGGAAAATACTCGAACAAATGCCCGAACATGGTCAAAACATCGTCCCCAGACTACTTTTATACTATTTTTAGATATTCCCCTTGTAGAGGGACATGCCCGACTTAAGCATAATTGCGAATATGTTCTGCCGCACGACCTGCCGTATACACCGTGCGCGCGAACGTGCAAGACTCATGACGACTGCGCGATCCGCGGTGGACTGGCAGAATAGGGTCACACCATTTTTCGTGGGGGGCTGGCACTGCTATAGCATGAGACCAATCACGAAGTACACGGCCCAATCAACGACCAGGGATCTGTATCGATGAGCTCCGCTTGCATAGCAAAATGGCACGGCTGTGAAACTACTTAGTACCCCTAAACCCGCAAAGTGCAAAACGGTGGAGGAGAACGTTCCGTCGAGGACGAGGTGGAGGAACGAGGAGATGAGCAAACAAGCTGTGTGGATGTTCACTTCGGAGGACCACGCTGAATTTGTGGTCGGGCGCTGGACCCCATTCCTGCACCCCTCCACCTGCCCCTGCCCGACGCCGTCAACGACCTGCCCGTCGCCCTGCCCGACGAACCCTGCGGCGTTTCCCCTGGCGGCCAACAGTGCGAGGAGGGCAACACTTGGGGCAGCGGCAACCTGCACGTCTTTGATGGGAGCCCTGACGCTATCTTCAGGCGATCGCAAACATGGATCCATGGGGGGCGTGGATTAGCGACGGGTCCCGCTTCCATGGGAAATCGCAGATTTCTGCCGCCGAGCGAGGCGGCACCGGCGGCAACTTGGGGAGGGCACCTCCCCCGATCTATGGCCTTGGCGACCGCGCGCCAAATCCACGGATCGCTGATCTATGCTTGCGCGCCCCCGACACCTGGCGCTCGTAGCGCCCTGCCCCCCAACCACCCACCCAGCACCGCGAGGGGCCTCAGGAGAGCTATGACTCGAGTCTCGAACCTCGCGGACCCGGCCAGCCCACGACGTGATGTGCCCCACTCGCGGGCCCCTCTCGGCCCCTTCCCTGGGGGGCAGTTCCTGGAGAGCCCAGTCACGACGGTCCCGGAGCCAGACGTCAGAACCCTGAAATCCAAACGTGCAGGTGGGGAAAACAGCGGGACAGAAGCAGCCAGCCCGCTCGAAGTCCAAGGACGAGGAGGACTGGCCTGGACCGTGACTGTGGCTCACGTGTCAGACGAGGGCAGAGCGGCACGTCTGACACCGCATGTGCACCCTGAATCTGCGCTGGGGCCCGACTGGCGAGAGAGGCGGAGGAGGAGGAGGAGGAGCCCTGCCTGAAGGAGAACTAGAATTAGGTCGGGCATGCCCCCCTACAAGCGGATTTTGGACGAAAAATAAAAACGTAGCCAAGACATGCTCAAAATAGTCAAGAATAGTAGAACAATCGTCCCCATACTATTTTTCTTTGACTATCTTTGAGTAGTCCCCCTGTAGAGGGACCTGCCCGACTTGACACCGGAAGGCATGTGCAGAAACCTCCAGAGGTGCACGCGGAGTCCTCGCATCCGCGCTGGGCCCCCGGCCCCGGCGCCCGGCGCCTCCGGCGCCGCCCCCTGGCGCGCAGCTGCGCGCCAGCGAGGGGGGGGGGGCGCACACTCGCCATCGCTCGGACGTCCATTCCCTGTTTTTTTCGGTTTCGTGCGTGGTTTTTTCGCCAAATCATCAAGGACGCTCCTCGATGGTCCTCGCCGAGGGAAAAAGGCACACGTCCGAGCGATGCCAAGCACACCGACCCAAGACATCCGCGCGGACTGCTCCCAGGGAAGTCGAGGACAGGGGGAGGAAGCTCAGCAGCAGCAGAGGGGGAGCTTCCTGCGTGTCGCACGGGGCCTCGTTGCAGCCCTTCGTCTCGGTCAGCTCGCTCGGGCACAGCTCGCCGCCGTTCTCGGGAAAGCGGTGCACCTGCCTCTGCCTGCGCCCGGCGGGGGGCGGGGGTGAAAAGGAGCACAGTGAAGACAGAGACGACAGCAAATCTTCCCTTCATACATCTTGGGGCGCGTCCTTCGTCAAGGTGTGAGCTTCCTGAGCTGCCCCGGAGCGCGCCAGGGGCGCGGCGCCGGAGGCGTCGCCAGGGGGGCCCACGGCGCGGATCCAGGATGATCCGCCCGGAGCGCCAACAGTTTCAGTCTATGTGCTTTTTCTTCCGCGATGATACAGTCGAGGAGTTGACCTAAGGAGCCCGAAATAAGGAACAAGGCCCCTATTTTCCATAAGTTTAACTTCGATTTCGTATCGAAAACCTAAGGAACATCCAGGGCGAGCTGCGAAACAATTAAGGAACACGGAGCCCCTCCCCAACGAAAAGGGTTTCTTCTTCAGGGCCCCGACTGTAGGCGTCCCGGCTCCGTCCTGGCCCCGCCAGAACGCTCGGGGACGGATCTATGCCTGTGGATGCCATGACAATGGGCGCTCCCACAATCCCATCATTGAATAAAAGATGTGGTTAAAACGTGTAAAGCATGTTCTGAACATGTTTCAATCATGTTTTTGTTTTAAACATATTTGAAGCATCTGGAAAACACCTTTTAGACATCTTTGAGGCATCTGGAAAACATCTTTCATGTTCAAAAATGTGTGAAGCATCTTTTAGACATCTGGAAATGATTTGGCAGCATGCTTCCCCTCCCTTAATCGACTTCCACAAATCTGTGCTCGTCCCAGCCCCCTCCGAAGACCGCCCGCTTCCGTGAGCCCGCACGCCCGGCAGGGGCCGCCCGCCTGCCTGCCAGCGATGGGACCCCGCCCGCGCGCCCTGCCGCCCCCTTAGATTGAGCAGGGACCGACCGTCCCGGCATTCAGATAGGCCTACCAATATTTTTCCCTACTTTTTTCAACAGAGACAGATGGGCGCCCGAGTTATCTGGGGCAACTCGGGTCCGGGGTAACGCGGGTCTGGATTCCCGAAAAGCGAATCCGATCTAGCCCTGACCCGAGTTACCCCTGATGATTCGGGGCTCTGAAACAGTCCCTGAGATCCGACGTCTCAACAAAAATTGAGACGCCGTGCAAAATCGAGCATGGAGCTCTAAACACTATCTTTCTGCGCCATTTTTCGAGCCGGATCGATCTGTGAGGGTCCTGGGGCCCGAAATTACACGAAATCCCCCCGGATCGCAAAAATTGAGTCGCCAGGATCTCAGGGGTAGTCGAGCGAACAAGACCGGCGTATCGAAACAAGACCGTCCCAGCCAGAAGTGTTCTGAGAACATTTCGTGTAGACCACAAAGGGTTCTCAGAACAGGCGGGCCGAAACGCTTCGCCACTGCTTGATACGAGAATCCGCCCAATGCCCTGCCCACTCTGCTGCCCCGGTTAACTGGCACTAAAACACAACCATAAGGGTAGACGTAAGAAGCAATAATCGTCCCAACAAGACCATAACTACCTCGGAGCCTCAAAAAGCCTCAGATCGGGTAGCCGGCCGTGCAGTATCCCAGGGAAGGTGCATTGCCCCAGTACAGGGGAGCCCGATGCCCTGCCCATCACGGTCGATCCGCTGGCGGCACGGTCCCCGCGGGGAGCGGGCCCGTCCCTGGACCTCCTCGCGCCGTGAAGCAGTCGCGACGGGAGGCTCCTCGCTGTGGATGCCACGACAACGGACGCCCTAACAATCCGATCACTGAATTACAAGAGTGCTTAACATGTAGAATTTCTTCGATGTCTAAATCATGTCTTTACCTGTTTAGGACATGCTGAGCGCATGTCTTAGACATCTGGGGTCTTTTGGCAACGTGCTTCCTCTCCACTGATCGTCGTCCACCAGCGTCTCGCTGCTTTCGGCCTCCAGGGGACCTTCCTGGGACCGTCAGACAACGACTCGCAGGATGGATCGGTCCCCAGGAAGGGGTCCAGACTTCTGGGGGCCACAAACATGGAACAAAAATCACGACGTCGGGGGTCTGCGTCGGCGCCACGATTCGGGCGCACCGGCTCGAACGAACCTGGCCCGCCGACGCCAGCGCCGCTGGCGAACGATTCCTCGGGGCCGGTCCGCCTGCGAAGCGAGGTCTCGTGCCGCACCGGCTCTCTGGCATGCCGAGAGCTGCTGAAGACAGGCGCGCGTCGTGGAAGAAGCACGGCGGATGATCCAGAGCTCGACGGCATTCCCATGCCGCGGAGTGCGGATCTGACGAGACGCCAGCACATAGCGCCAACTCTCACCAACATGTGTGCTAGATCCTGTGCTACAATGTTGCTGCATATGGTGCTGCCTTTTTTGTTTGGAGTATATCATAAATCATTTCCGGAGCTCGCAACATCACAGAATTCATGTCGCTCTCACCTCCCTGATTCGGCTTGCACTCGCCAGATCTGCAGTGGAGCCAACTCGTTGTAAGCGCGCCCCCCGGGCCGCACGCGCTCAAAATATCGGCGACGATCGAACGTGCCTCTGCCGGCTTCGACGGCCTCCGAAAGCATCCGGGTCTGTCTCTAGAAGCAAAAAAACGCAATAAACACAAACTTCTGGCGCTCCGCGCAGATTTCGTGGATCTGCGCTGGAGCCCCCCCCTCGGCAAGCGGAGCGCGCCAGGGGCAGCGCTGGAGGCGCCGCCTGGGGGTCCCAGGCGCGGATCCAAGAAATCCGCGCGGAGCGCCAGAAGTTTATGTTTATGGCGCCTTTCCTTCTTCGAGTCTCGCAGCTGCCAAGGCCGCGATGACGGCGTGCTTGGTTAACGGTGCGATTGGAAATATTGTTTTGTGTGACGCCGAGATCACGCAAAACAAAGCGTAGGAGATCACGAACCGCCGTTCCCGAATTTCAAACCTGCGAATGTGTCGAACGAAAACGACACACAGCGAGTTGTAGAACAAAAACACGAACCACGCGTTCCTACACTTGGTTCGGCCACGAGCCGCGCCTTCCTACAATCGGATGTCCCACTCCGCCGTTGGCTGACGCACCGTTAGCGAGTCTATAGGGCAGTTTCTAATAGTCTAACACATAGGATTTTAACACATATAAGATTTCAATACATGATTAATTTATGAATACATTAATGCGTAAACTCAGCCTTGTATTTATTTATCAACCCTTTATCTTTAATACCTGGTCCGCACGCGGAGCATGAATAAAAAACGGCACTGTACGGAGTCTCGCAGCTGCTCCGATTTTGGGCCGCCGACAGCGTCACAGCTCCCACCGAGGCTCGGCAGCGCCCGCGTGGCAGAAGCGAGCCGCGAAGCGTGCGAGGTTCTGGAGCGGCGGGCCCGCGCCCGGCGGCGGCCGGAAGCCGGGCGCTCGCAGCCCCGCGCAGCCGTCCCGCGGGCTCAGCGTGTACTCGGCGTTCGCGTACTCCTCTGGAGCGCAGGGAGCCCAGAGAACCAACGCATTGCCAAAAGCAGGGCGGAGGTTTTTCGCAGAGTCCGGCCCCTATAGCGGCCCTCGCCGGGCCTCTGGACGGTCCAAAAACGACGCAGGATGAAAAAGCGGTCCTGGGGAATGGGTCGAGACTTCTGGGGACTCAGTCTTGGAAAAAAATCACGACATCGGATCTCAGGGAATCCACCCCCATGATAAATTTAGTTACCCGACACGCGACACCGCTTAGTGCACGCACCCAAAGAAGGAATCGAACAGGGCAGGGCGTTTCAGTAAACGCCCAGGGCCGCTTAGCATACGCCAACTATCAGGTCCGGGTGGTGTTTCCTGCCTGGATCCTCGGCGCTGGGCACCGTCTCCAGAAGACCAGAAAACTGCACGGGCGCAAACCCTCGCAGGCCCGCGCGGAGTTCCCGGGCCGGCGCTGGGCCCGCGTCCTCCCCACCCGTGTGGGCGCCTCCTCTGGCACCGCCCCCGCGCGCCCGGGCGCCGACCCGAGACATCCGCACGAAGCTCTCAAGTGTTGTTGCTGCCTTTCCAGCTGTCTGGTCTTCGAGTCTCGTTGTGGTGCTCCCTGTCCAACGCGAAGCCGTACGTGAAGAACATCAGCGCGGGGCTCTGCGACGAGGCCCAATAGTCCGTCAGCAGCTCTGCCCCCGCCGGCAGATCGCGCACGGCCTCGAGGCAGAAGTCGCCCTGAGCGTCCAGGCGCTGCGCTACGTTCACCTCGTGGCCGGGGCCGGCGTTGGCCAAATCTGCCAACGGAGACAGACCTACGTAGCCGGACTGCCGCGTCAGCAGCTGCACGTAGGCGAGCTTGGCCTCCTCCCAAGTGGGCGACTCCCTCCCGCGGTGGCAGTCGGAGAGAGAGCGCAGCCACGCCCCCTCCCAAAAATCCAGCTGCTCGTCTAGCTGGAAGCCCTCCAAATACGCTGGGTGGAAATGCTTATACGCTTCCTCTGTGGGCAGCATTGCCAGATACGGGTAGTAGAAGGACGCGGGCCCCTTCTTCGCCTCGACTGCCAGCCAGAGCGCCACGCGCACATTCGCCCCGCAGAGCATCGAGAAGTTGCTGGAACGCGGCACCACGTCCTCGTTGATCCAGCACGCCTTCGGGATGCAGAAGACAGGCTCGCCCTTGGAGACATCGGAGCTCACGCCGAGGCCGCGCAGGTGCTCTCCCCCGTGCTCGAAGCTCGCCAAGAACACCCTGCCCGGGGGCCTCCCCGAGGCCCGGGGGCCCAGAGATAGGACGGGAACAATGTCACGGTAAGATTGGCTCATGATACGTTTCGGGATATCCAGTGTATCTAGCGGCCCTCGTTTCTGTAGCCCCGTGTGGAGCGTCAGGGCATCTGGGCAATGCTGGACATCCTTAAACGCATCATTCTCATGGCCATGTGCTCCTGCGAAGGACGCACACAACGGCCCAGGCTTAGAGCAAGCTGGCCGCCGTTGTTGCTGCTGCTGTGCCTGTCAAGCCACCTCGAGTCCCGTTCTGGGGAGCGCTCCGACCAGAACGTCGCGGTGGACCCGGCGGTGACGACGAGGGAGCCCCAGGAAGCCTGAGGAGCGAACAACAAGCACCCCAAATCGGAGTGCTAAAGCCCCCACCAAAACATCCGGTGACTTGATGCTTTCTCGGGCGTTGGCTGGACCGGGCTCGTGGGGCCAAGTTTCAGGATGGACGCCGGATTATCCAGGATAACTGCGGTCCGGGGTAGCTCCGGTTGGGGCCCCCGAGGCGCGAGTCTGTAGCTACCCGGGACTGCCCCCAGCCCTGATGATTCGGGAGGGTTGGAAGCCCGAGTTATCTGGGACAGCTGCGGTCCGGGGTAGCTTCGGTCTGGGCCGCCCGAGGCGCGACTCTGCAGCTCTCCCTGGCCGCCCCCAGCCCTGATGGTTCGGGGCTCTGGTAGTGATGTGTACCTGGGGACGCCCTCCCCGCCCCAGTCCACTAAGCTTCGGTCGGGCATGCAGGCGGATCTTGAAAGAAACATGAAAGTAGTCAAAGACTTGTCAAGCATACTCAAACAGAGGTACCGCTAGCACCCCGCATTTTCGGAAGAGAGTGAGGGGGCGGCAGGTACGTCGGCAGTCTGCAAGGCTCTGAAACAACACACAACACACAACAAACAACAAACAACAAACAACAAACACCAAACACCAAACACCAAACACCAAACACCAACCACCAACCACCAACCACCAACCACCAACCACCAACCACCAACCACCAACCACCAACCACCAACCACCAACCACCAAACAACAAACCACAAACCACAAACCACAAACCACAAACCACAAACCACAAACAACAAACAACAAACAACAAACAACAACAGCAGCAGCAACAACAACAACAGCAACAGCAACAGCACCAGCACCAACACCAACACCAACAACAACAACCACAACCACAACAACTACAATACTAACAATAACAACAAAAATAACAAGAACAACAATCATCATCCTCACCACGGGTTCTCACTTTAACCACGCACACAGGGACAATGAATGACCGTTCGGCCCCCTCACTCTGACGAAAAAAGTCCGAACCTGATTATAATGTATTGCTCGAGTATTCCTCCCGCAAAGGGACATGCCCGACTTAACCCTAATCGGAACTGCCGTCACCCAAAGAAAGACCCGCTACGGCAAACCTGGTTCAATGGTTCTGGCAATCGTTGGGCTCCGGGGCCCCATCATTGATAGGCTCCCCTTGCCTGGAGTCCTAGCTATATGTCCGATCTTTCATTCGGGGTGCCAGATAGACCTGACCCTTTCCCCGGGGCCAGCCCCTCAGCGTGAGCAGTTCTGCGGACGGCCCCGGGGCCCCGCAAGGGCCCCCGGCAAAGGCCGCGAACCGCCAGAGCTCTCCCGTCGTGCTGCATTTTTTCTTCACGGCGCGCCGCGGCGTGGGAAGATGTCTTGGCGGCGCGCAAGAAGGGAGGCTAGGGGAAGGCGCGGGCCCGGTTCATAACCAGATGTGTACGGCCCGCGCCCTCTGAGAAGCAGCCTCCTTGTAAGGAGCCCTCCCCCAAGGTATGACAAGACAAGGGCCTTCCCCCCTCCACCCCAAATCCCCTGAAGTGCGCGCCGCCGAAGCCTGTCCAGGCCGAGGGCTCCCCGCCGAGGAAAGAGCGGCGGCCGCCATGGAGACCCGAGCAGGGAGGCGACTACAGGATTGGTTCGACCCGAAAACACGAACGTTAAGCATAGAGGAGGAAGAGGAGGAGGAGGAAGGAGGAGGAGGAAGACTCGACGAACACAGACCACTCCTGGGGCAAATCAGTTCTGTAGCCCATCTCCGACTCGAGAGGAAGGGGCATGGGAAGCAGCAGGAGGCCCAGCCTGTCGGTGCCGGTGGCCCCGCACGCGTCCTTCTCATGGAAGCCAGCTATAGGCTTAAGTCGGGCCTGTCCCCCTACAGGGGGATGTTCGACGAAAAATATATATTTTTTTTTAACCCTCCAAATAATCTCGAAATAATCAAGAAATAGTCTGGGGACTATTTTTTGCATATTTTTCTGCCTTTTTGGAACATGTTCGGGGTATTTTCAATTTTTCGTCGAAAATCCCCCTGTAGGGGGACAGGCCCGACATAACTATAGGCACCGTTACCGCTGCTCCTCCCCCGACCGCTCCCGGGGTGCGCCCGGACGCGCGCGTGCACAGTCGGCCCGTACAAGAAGGACGCACGACCCGGCCCCCCTCGGGTACAATGAAAAAATCATGGCGGGGGGTTCTTAGCAATGCTCGGCCTCCTGGGGCCCTTAATTACCGGCCCTCGGGGCCGTCCAAAAAAAGACTCAGGATGAAAGACCGGTCCAGGGGAACGGGTCGAGACCTCCAGGGGTCGACGCAATGAAAACATCATTACGTCGGGGGTCCGGGGATGAGAAGAGCCTTGAAGGCCATCCAGACACTTTGCGGGCGGGGCGCGGCCAGCGAAAGCGGCCAAGGATGGGCCAAAGGGGGAATGATATGCAAGGGCTGCAAGGGTAGCCCTGGAAAGCCCCTGATCATTGCTATACGGACTGACTGTGCACAGACACCCACGACGAATTGTGCCTGTACCTGAAGGGAGGGTGGCAATGTATGAAGTCGCTGGCTCTCAAGTGGTGATTTACTCACCGCCACCCTCCCCTGTGGCCTGGGAACAATCCATTGGAGGGTATATGTGCGTAAATTTTTGCGGCGGATCTCGCCAGAATCTCGAGGCAAATCCGGCCGTGGCGACGAGGGCCTCCCAGGAGGCCCAGGAAGGCAAACACGGTGAAGGGCAGCGGTGCCAGCACCTTTTCCCAGACCCACGACGTCGTGACTTTTTGTTCGCAACGCCCACCCCCAAAGGTCTGGACCCCTTCCCCGGGACCAGGTTTTCATCCCGAGCCGTTTTTGACGGCCCCGAGGCCCAGGAAGGGGCCCCAGAGGCCGACAATCTATAGAAAAAAACTCCTGCCACGATTCCATCGCGACGCGAGGAGGTCTGGGTCAGTACCTCTTCTTGAGCAGGGACCGACCGTCCCGGCATTCCTGTAGGCCTACCACGACATGTCCTGAGAACCCAGAAATGCCCTCATAACGAAAGCAACGTTCTCAGAACGTACACCCGGTGCGTGGAAACAAGACAAGGCCCAGCCAGAGCTGTTCTCCAAGAACGCGTCGTGCAGACCACGAGAGGCCCCTAATTATAGAACACTCTCCGGCGGGCCTCTAGGCGAGCCATGGACGCTCCGCCACTGCTCGATCTTCCTCCTCGGAGCCTCGAGCCACGCGCACAGGCGCGCGAAGGCCGGGTCCGCCGCGTCGCGGCGGCACGGCGTGCGCCCTGGCGGCGCGGCGGGGCCCTGCGCGCGCAGGCCCGGCGCACCGCCGCCGCCGCCGGCGCCGGCAGCGGCGGAGCCGGGCCCAGCGGCTGCAGGGCCTCCCGGCGCGAGGTCCTGCGCGCGGGGGGCGGGAGCCCAAACCTCCTCGCGTCGTGAGAATCTATATATAATATATATATATAATATATATTATATATAACACACAAAAAAACACGGCGGGAGGTCCTTTGCTAACTGCGCGGCCGCTGCAGAGGCCCTTCCCGAGCCCCGGGATCGTCAACCAGAACGACTCAGGATGAAGCGCCGGTCTGGAAAGGGTCGAGACCTCGGTCGTTATGACTGACTACCTACCAGACCACCACAACCCAACCCGAAGACCCGAATTTCGGGTTGGGGGGGGGTATGGCCTCCATGTGTGTTTTTTCCGATGTTCCCAGACCCCCCCCTGGACATGGAGGGCAAATTGAGGCCTTCGGGTTGGGTTGGGGTGGTTTGGTGGGTTGTGAATGACAGAATCGTGACGCCGGGGTTCTGGGGGCGGGGGGCCCGAGTCGCTGCCAGACCTGCTCGCGTCCTGAAAAAGAAGTCATGACGGAGGCTTCTCGCGCCGTGTTTCCGGCCTCTGGAGGCCCTAGCGCCGGGCCCCGGGGCCGACCAAAAAAGGCTCGGGAGGAGAAACCAGCCCTGCATGCCCTGATCATTGGATACTGGAATTTTCCAGTCGCGACCGACGAGAACGGTCGTCCGTTTGCGACCAATCGGTCGCGATCGGTGGCGACCAGTCGCGACCGATTCGCGATCGGTCGCGACCGACTTGGAGTGCCGATCGATCGTTACCGATCGCGACCGAAAATATTGGTATGCAATGATCTGGGTGGGGGAGGGGTCGGGACTTCTGGGGAGCCCATGTGACTAAAATCAAAACATCGCATATCTGGGTCGCTGGCCCCCTCAGCACTGTCTCACTCTAACACGGACTCCACCAGACACTAGACAGGCACTTTGGCCAGCGAACCGTCGAGAGCACTCCTTCCCATCGCGGGCCAAGTTGCAATGCCCTACGAAGACCCTCAAGTGGGCACTTCTCGGAGAGTCTCCAAAATACTCGTTGCGTTGATGAGAAACCCATTGCGGCGCCGCTGACGGGAAAATCTTCCCCCAGAAGGGACGGGAGAATACACCAGGTCCCAAGCTTCCCTGTAACAAAAACTACTTATGGGACCCGTCCTGGTTTCAGCCCAACCAGGCCGAGTACAGTGGGGGCCAGTCCACGAGTAACCTCCCACAAGAAACCCAGCCCTGAGACCCCAGGACGTCCACAGATTTCTTTGGTGTGGGAACGCCACGCTTCCCTTGGCGAAGCCATCGAACCCGCAGAAACCAAGGACACCCTGGAGGCAAGCAGGGTTCCTCTCGAGGAGAACGTGAAATGACATAGACATAAAA